AGGTAGGCCAATAAATTATGACTGGAAGGCACAACCTGCATTTCCATGGGTTTCTCATGGGTGAAGCATTTTATGCTTAGCACACTGTGCTAAATGATTTATTGTGATCTGGACATATGCAGGTTTAAAATCTGCAAGGGCGGTCAAAGACCGTTGTTTCGTGACTGCAAGTAGTCCAGCCTCTGCACCGTTATGGTCGTCACGGTTACATGTATCGGTGGCCGGTGCTTGCAAATTGTGCGTCGTACAAATTGACTTCAGTGCAAATAAAGTCGCTATCTTCTGTCCCGTGATCTCTCAAGCCTTGGACTTTTTGCAAGAAGTCGCTTGGTTCAAACCTGTCAGGAATGTTAGTTCTTCAGCTCCTATAACAGCCAAGCCTCAGTGCAATTTTTGTGCAGTAATCTCTGAGGCACTATTATGCCTCTCGAGGGTAATTGCACTACTTTTGCCGTCAGTTGTGGAAGTCCTTAATTATCCCTTACATGTTAGTATTTTATTTCCGAGGAGGTTGTCTACTGCTTTTACGCTTTTTATTCCTTTCTTACCCTTTCAAGACTTGGTCCCCAAATGTTTCCTGAATTGGCTTCTTGTCTTGCTCCAAGAGCTTCTTTCATTCCACACCGTCGTATTTTCTTTAGTAACAGGACCTTAGTCCCGTTCTGAATGGACTTTACCCCCTTGGCCAGTCCCTTGATGTCCTATTGTTTCAGATTGCTGAAGCCAATGCCTTTTTGTCTTTTTGTTATCCAGCACGGTGACATGCCACAGCTAGAAAGAGACAATATAATGGCAGCCTTTCGCAGTGGCTCCAGCAGAGTCCTTGTCACCACTGACATCCTGTCGCGTGGCATCGACGTCCAGCACGTCTCCCTGGTGATCAACTATGACCTGCCCACCTCCCTCGAAACCTACATTCACCGGTAGGTATACGATGTTTTCTCACTCTATTATAAGGCGGCCTTGTACACTGGATACTGCCGTATGCAAGTGAATGGCAAAAATAGCAGACCATGCGACCATTTCTGCCACATTATTTCCATCGAGTCGGCCGTAACAATCTTCAACAGCTTATATTTCCAGTTACCGTTGGTCTTCTTCATGGTGTGCGCTGCGCTGTCTGGTAAAAAGGTTCTCCTACCCATAGTTGCTCTTCATAGTGGAGCAAGTCTTAAGACTGTTGTGGTTTTCATGCTGGAACCGGTGACAATAGAATGTATAAGTCCTTGGTTTTTATTACGATAACGTGCCTGCTTATTTGATTTAGGTGATTTAGAGTTCCGTTTCTGACTGAACGTAAAAAA